ATAAAACTTGTGAACACGTCTCCTCTCTGTTTTCTCTTCCTCACTGAGCTTCCTGAACCAACAACCCAGGTAGGGTCACTTTGAAACAGGAGGGATCAGATGGTTGATCATTTCCACATTTTCCTTCAGTTCTATATGACGTTTCCTCCTTTCATTGAGCTGCTGGTTTCAGTTTGTTTTTAGTGAATTCATCTACAGACAGTGGACACAGACCCTAAAGGGTCAGCAGCAGTCGTCTTAATTCATCTTCATCAGTAGAAATAAAGTGTGTGCATATGACTGACTTTATAACCAGCTCAGTTGTTACTGGCGTCTCTACTCACAAAGCTGAGCTACATTAAAGTTCACTGTGAACCAACATTATGCTGCCATGGCAGAGCTCTGCTGCAGCATGAGCTACTGTTAGGTACAGGTAGGCTGGAGCTAATATTATAGCTAATGTTAGCTGTAACTAACATCAACAGGTCACAGCTGCTTACACAGTAATGTTAGATGGCACCATGTGAAACAAGGCTGATGATTTTTAGGTTTCTCTGGAGCAGAAACGTGCCAGTAGAGACAAAAAGATGGTCTGAGAACTCCTGGTGAACTTTCTATGCAGCTATTGTGTTGTTAGTTAATACTCTAATGCAATGTCTTTTTGAATGAATGAAGGGTACACTATGAGACATGAAGTAGTTCTTCAGCTAGATATGAAACTGTCGAACATGACTAAACCCAGTACCAGAGAGCTGTGGGCTGGAATAGGTCCAGAGATCAGACACTGTGTACCAGTATCTAACACAGACCAAATGAAATTGAATCCTCTTTGCTTGTTTTTTTTCCCCCAAGTCATAGTTTAATAAACATATTTGAAGTATATAAAATTTGTTTCATGTAAGAGAGTAATAGAATACCACTCCTGTCAAACTGAGTTGTAAAATGATTGGTTTATGGCCCGACAAGGTCCGCCTACTTTTTGCACTTTGTTTCAGTCTAGATTAAAGGCTGTCAACTCGTATGACCCCTAATTACAGAGTTCAAGCAATTTCACACCTATATATTAGATTATCAATTTGAAGCAATTTAATATAGGTCTGATGGAAAGTTAGCCACCATAACTTATGGCTTTATAACAATAGTACTTACTTTGTTGCTCTCTAAATATTTATGGATGTAAAGCTTAATGTTTCTCTCTACATTAAGTAAATATCCTTAGGAAAAGCAATTGTTTCTCCTCAGTGTACGGATTTAGGTTTCAGGGTTTTCTCTCTAAATATGGATTTGTGTAACAACTCAATTCATTCTCTTTTCAGGAAAGCGTGCATTTCTCCCCAACACAGTTTAACCTTGTTGTGATTTCCCCCTTT